CCTGGGACCTGGTGGGTGCTGTTCGATCTTTGGAGGCCGAATTAGAAGAGTGAGAACCCGGTATGATGGTGTTGATAGCTCTGTCTTGGGATAGAAGGGTATCTGTATCCAGAGAGATGCTGCTCTAAAGGCATGAGAGTGGGTGATCTCGAGGTAGGAGAGGAAGAAAGAAGTAGTATTAGACTTTGACAGGCCGCTGCTGAGCATGGATCTGACCTCCTGTAGTCTCCTTGCGAGCACATCCCCTTCCATCTTGGCAGTATTGGTAGTGTTGGCGGTGTTGGCGGTGCTAACACTGGCCTCAGAGCTGGCATACGACGGCCGCCTAGCGTCTCCACGCGCAAAGGCCCTGCGCCTGAACTCGCTCTGGGCCAGTTTGACGGCAAAGTCTCTGTTTTCAGCAGCCTGCAGTGCCTCTGGTCGGCCTGCTAGCGCTGGGTCTTGCACTGTGGTTGCACTTTGAACGGTAGCATCTAGATCGGAGAAGGAGGTTGCGGTGTTATCTTCCGTTGTAGATACGGTGGTAGTGGCTGCAGCATGGTTCTCAGCCTGACTGCGCTGCTGGAGCTCCTGGTAACGGTCGTATAGCCTGCGGATCCGGGGTTTGAGTATCTCTAGCTTGTTGAGTGAAGCCTGGACTTCCTTCTTTGCGGCGGCGAGCCCCTGTTTGTTCTTTGGGTCTCGGGCGTCGGGGTGGGCAGTCAGGTTGATGAGGACGAGCTGGGCATGTCTGAAGAGGAGGAGGTAGGCCTGCTGGTCGTTGCCTTCTTGTTCGTATATTCGAGCCTGTTATGAAACACTGTTAGAGGCGGTGGTGGGTGGAATATTTGATGACGGCGAGGGGGGAGGAGCGCTGCCTACCTCCTTGACAAGCAGGCCAGCGGAGCGAAGCCAGTAGCGAAGCGGCACCTGGGGATCGAACTCGTACTGGCCGGCCTGCCGAGCTATCTGCTCGACGGTCAGAGGCGGCAGCATGGTGACTGTCTCTGGCTCTGGGTCTGCTCTTCTCTGTTTACTTCTTGTCACTGTCTGGCGGAGGTGAGATGGTGGTTTGAAGCTGTGGGGGGGTCGTTAGCAGGCGGGCTCTTAAGTCAGGGCGAAGTAAGCTGTAGGGAGCGCAGAAGGGCAGCAAGAAGAAGGAAGCCATGCCGTCCTGAGCATCAACCTGTCTTCGTCGTCCATCCTGCGTCTTGTCTTTTATCGTCTTTCCTTTGCGTCTTCTTCTTCTTCTTCTTCTACTTCCACTACTTCTTCGTCGTTTTGAAGTCGTTGGAAGGTTGGCTTAAAGCAGCAAGGAGATCATTACATAAGCCTCAACGCGGCACGATGAAACCACCAAAAAGGAAAGGACGGAAACGACGTCGAAATTGATATAGAAAGACGGCGACGGCGAGGATGACTGTGAAGAACAGAGACGGCGAGGAGAAGAGAAGAGATGGCGGCGGCGATTGCTGTATTATACTGTGTATATACTGGCCCTACGTACACTGCACTGTGATGTTTGCTGTTCTCTCTTCGCTTGCGGTGCGGCAGAGCCAATAAAATGATGGATAAGGTGCAGTCCGACTGGTGGTAGCTAACTTTCTAACCGGCCAGTTGAACTTACCAGCGAAAAGAGGACGAGGTAAAAAAAAAAAAAAGCAATGACGGAAGAAGAAAAGAAAAGGAAAAAATAAAAAAGGCAGAAGAAGCAAAAAACGCAGCGACGTGAGTGGCGAGACGAGTCGATGATGATGAGAAAAGATGGAGGAAGCAGCAGGAAGACCAAGACGCAGACGAAAGGGCTAACTAGTTAACTTGGACTCAGATCATGGTTTATCAGGAGGAGGGAGGGACCAGCGGATGAACCGGATGAAAGCATGAAAGGAGTTGGCTGGGAGCTAGCAGAGTAGCTGGTCAGCCAGTCAGCCCGTCGACTATGGAGTGCCGCAGTTAGTTGCATATCTGGGGGAAGCAGACGCAGCACCGCGGTCCTCGCGGCCCTCGCCGTCCTGGCTGTCCCGTCGTGAGTTCTTCGGGGACGGGGGGTTTGCTACTGGTCAATGGGCGGCAGCATGTGGCCCTTTTTGGGAGTTGATATACTCGGTTATATATGAGGAAGACGAAGGACTAGATATAGATGGTAGAGCAGTACTCCGTAACCAAGAGAGTAGCAGAGCAGCTAGTAGTAGTAGTAGCAGCAGTAGTAGCAGTAGCAGTAGCAGTAGTGGTGGTGGTGGTGGTACTCCGTAGCAAGGGAAGAGAAGCAGATAGAGTACAACATAGAAGAGTAAGAGCAGAGAGAGTCTCCTGTGTTACTACTTGGCGTCTCCTGGTCCTCTGCGCTGCTGCCCGTCCTTGACTCCCCTGTCTATCTTCCGCCTCTCTGCCCTCTGCCCTCTGCCCTCTGTCTGTCTGTCTGTCTGTCTGTCTGTCTGTCTGTCTGCTGCTGCTGCTGGCAGTGTAGTTGATTATTACTGCAGGAAGAAGAAAAGAAACGAAGCCCGCCCGCTCCATGGTCCATCCTATCCCCCCCC